TAATAAATGTTTGTTAAAAGCAAACACAATTCTTTTACATTGTTGCTAGTCACTAAGATAGCAGTAGTATGGGAAGTCAGAAATAAGTCAGAAGCAATCAGAAATTAAGGCAACTTTTCAAAAGTGAATTAGACAATTGTTTAAATTATATAAGAAATCAAAAGCAGATCTGGCTAAGCAATATACTTTTGGAGCCAACCTGTCAGTCAGTGGCTGCAAAATGTGCTGTAATGTAAAGCATGGAGCCAAGTTCTTCAGTCAGACCTCCCCCTTCCCTCCGCTGGACCAGGACCAGTCCCAGAAGCGTCTTCAGTGTACTTGTGAATTGTACTTGGTTCTACCTTTGTTGTATATTTCCATAGCTTGAAACGTAAAACTTCTTGGGGAAGCTACAAGCTTTTGAGCTGTTATACGCACATTTTCAGATGTCTTTCTCTCTCATCCAGATCCCAAGGGATCCCTACCCTATGAAAACTTTTATGTTTTCAGACTGTGTTTGCCAAAATGCAGTCATGCTGGCAATCTTTGAGCCGCCAAAGACCATTTGAAGATGTATCTTTTTTGGTCTATTCTTGTTGTCATTCTTCCTTCTCCCATACCCCCTCCTGGCACAGCGAATGGGGCCCCTCTAAGCCTTCCACAGGCAGGACAATGAGAAGACCCACCATGGTACCAGAAAGAAGGAAGAAGTCAGCAGCAGGTAACGCCGACCACCCGTGTAGAGCCCTGTGATTGTTACAAGTACTACAAACATGCAGGTGGATTTTCAGAGGCATCCAGTGATTTTGTGAGGTTGAGATGTGATTTCATTGAAAGGCTGACGACTGTGCAACAGACTTTTATTTTGGAAATAAGTGAAGAAAGAAATGGTACTGGAAATCAACACTGCAAATCTTCAACTTAATATGAATCTGTTTAAATTATGAGAAAGCAGTTTTTTCTCCTGGTCCCAAATTGACTATTCCTGTGCTTATATTTCTGTGAATCCATTTTGATTGAGTTAAGAAAAATATCTATGGGGCAGATGTGTTATGAAAATTAAAGACATTGTTCTGTATTGTAACCAAAGTGGCTTTGTTGAAGACAGTTATCACTTCACAGTGTAAAGCTAAGTACCTCAAGTATGTTGAGAATTCAACCATACTGACACTTCAGGATTCAGCATTGTAATGTTTCTATTACAGGCACGGTGGGGTGAAAAGATGCTATCAATCAGATTTACTTTGTGCTAGTTCTAGTCTAGAAAAAAAAAGTCGTGCAGGGAGGAAGCAGTGTAATTCTCATTTTTCAGAGGCTGAGAGAAGGCATGGTAGTTTTCTCAATCATTGCAAAAATATTATTGAAAGAAATCAACTGAAAATTCAGGGGAGAAAGATAAAAAAGAACTGATGTTTCTGAAATAAGAAAGTTTTCACAACCAAAAAAAAAAAAGAATCAAATGGTATTTTAATAACTGTTTAGGCATAGACCTCAATGTAGTACCTGAAATGTTGACACGATCTCATTTACAGCTTTCCTCTGTTTCTTTGACTACAGAGTTAGAAGAAAATACTTCATATAATGAATTCTACAATCATTTTTTTAATTGTTAGCAGGCAGTGTTGTCTGCAAATAGCATCATACATACAGCTGTACTTGTATACAATGTGTACAAAAGCACAGTAAGACACTTCCAAAATGTGCATATTGGGGTAACAATACGCCTCGTAAAGCTCCAGACGGATTAACTAATTCCCCCACACCATGCTACAAGAGTTTGAGAGGAGGCATATACAATTTAAGTTACTTACTTACTCAAAACAGGCTTTGAGTATTAGGCCTGGGAAATAATGAACCAAAATTGTGCTGATTTCCTAACAAGAAAGGGTTATAATGTACCTGGGAATACCTTCCCTGCGGAACAAAAAAGAACAGGCTGTAGCTTGCAGTTCTGCCAGAAGGCAGACTCATGCTGTCCATGCCACACACAGCAATTTAAGACACTGAGTGAAGAGTATAAATCAAACACAAGCATCAAATCTTGTCTAAATTAGATTATTATTTTTCCGGTAGGGTACCTGTATCATCTGGTAATGTCCACATCAGACAAATGCCTTCAGGAAATAGAAAACACAATGGATTTAGAAGCCTATGAAATGTTATGCTGTGTAGAGAGATTGCCAAACAAAATGAGAAGCAGGGAACCAGAAAAAGAATGCAGAAATAAAAGGGAAACTTGATCACAGTCAATGATCACCATTGAGAATTGAGAAAGTAAGGCTTAAGCTTTTGTGTTTTGTGGACATAAAATATCTGGGAGTAAAGATGATTCAAGACTGATCAGAGTGAAGGAATCCAAAACTCTGGCTGGCATCCGAGAAGAATCAGTGGCATAAAATTAAAGAGGAGTTCTGAGAACATGTGAGAACTAATTCACACAGAATTAAGGCATGGAGGGAGAGAAGAGGTGAAATGGAGAGAAAGGAGGATTAGGAAGTGTTATGGATGACAACTTCCTAAACTATTACAGGTAAATTTACAAGATGATGTCAGTCTGCTCCTTTGTGTAAAGTCTTCCAAGGAGCCACTGAAGCCACACCCCTGCGGTCAGCTAGAGCAGGCAGCACGGAGCTGGCCCACGCTGAACTTCGTAAACTTTGTCATTTGAATGCTGCACACAACTTTACTTTACATACTACAGCTCTCACCAGCTGGAGCACGCTGGTTGACATTCAGACATTCAATCTGTTACTTTCTCTATTGAGTGTTAATAACTGGGGATTTTTTTCAGGCAATTGGCTAAAATCATGTACAACAATGTACCTCCTTGTTGCTTTAAAGATTGCGGTAGGGGGATAACTAGCCTTGAAGGTACAGGAATTGGGAAAGGAATTTTGAACATCAGCTGCTTCCACAGAGTCGCAAATAGAACCAAATTAACAGCAAGTGCATTAATACGGACAAAAGGAACTGTAAGCTGCTACATTATATTAGCACTTCAGCTTTTGAAATTTTAAGACTAGCAACTAATTCTGAAATCCAATCTAAATTTCCAGTGTACTTTCTACTGTTCACCTTAGAGAAGTCAGAAGTACAGGTTACAGTGTTGTGACAGAGACAGATCTGTGCTGGAGCTCTTCCAACCAATTTGAAAGAGCGAGCTATTTAAAATTATATTTGGCTCATGAACTGGACATAAAATCTACTTCTACATCATGCCATTGCCTGCCACTACTGCCTCTTCTCCTAAGAAGGACAGCGTGAGCATTGCCTGTCTCGAGCTCAGACCCAGAACAGACCCTGCCCCAGCTAGCCTCTCACCCGGCTTGGGGAATGGTTATTAGTCTGACAGCATGCAGCTACATAGGAGGGAAATCACCTCCGACCCCATCAGTTCTTCCAGAAAAAGCTGGTGCAGCACTGACACATATTAGAAACTTTTATATGGGTGGCCTTACATGAGTTTTTGCAGCAACAAGCTGCAGTCATTGTGTTTATTTGCCTACCTGTGCTGACACATTAACCGATTTTTGGAAAAATGAAAAACAAAACAAAAGAAAAAATATTAAAAAAATAAAAATGAGGTGTTTTAAAGCTGAACTGCTTGATTTCTTGTGGCCTGAAGGGCAGCTTTGCAAGCCTTGTATAAGGTATCCCCAGCAGAGGAGTGTGAATGAAAAGAGAGAGCAGTAAGACCTCCTAGCAAATTTATTCTGGACAGGATGGTAATTCGTAACTACAGCCTCACCACTTTTCCCTGCTGTTTTAATCCCAGCTCTGCACTGACCACGTATGCTGAAAATATTCTCCTGGGAATACCAACAAAGAACTTTGCACTGTCCATGGCACTGGGATGACTCAAAAAAACATTTGAAAATCCTTCCTTTAGGCAACCCAGTTAGGATTTTCAGAAGGGCACTGACTATTCATGCACAAGGGCCTTCAGGAGAAGAAGTGTCTTTTAAAGCTGAGATTTTCATCAGTACTTAGGCTTTGTTTAGACCGGTAAACAGTATGTGCAAGAGGAGTAGATCCAGACAGCAAAACAGCTGGTACTGAGACACCAGTGTCAGCTACCCATGTGTCATCACTTGGGGTTTACTTCACACTAGAGCTTGTCGAGTCCCACGGGCTGGATGATCAGTAGTGATCAGCGTATGTTAGGTGTGTTCCTGCAGGGCATCCTTCAGTTTGGTTTTGTCTGGTAGCAATCTTGGTTCTGCACTCTGAGACTGCAAGTAGCAGCAAATACAAAGTGTGTAGACACTCTAAACCATGATGTTGCAGACTTAACAAATCAGAGAAATGAGTTTTCAGACCCTAAGTTCTAGAAAACCTGCTGGTTGCACACAACATTTTTTCTTTCGAGATGTTAATCACAAGCAGAATGTAATTCTAGCAGATAAACTTCTAACCTCAACAGCAAACAGAACCCCCAAAAAGTAAATTCTCATCTATATGTCTGCCGAAGTGAAAAAACAAGGTGGATTTAAATGAGGTAAATATCTAGCACGCAATGTTTGAATATTTTTTTATCTAAAACTAGAATCTACACATTGCAATGGCTCCTTAATTGGTTCAAAAAATGCCTACCAGTCTTGTACACACAGCATAGCTAAAATCATGCAAAATCTGTTAGAGTAAGACATAAGCCTGGATCAATATTCAGTTAAAAATACATATTTTTCAGATCAGAAAATCTATACCTTTTTAAAGCAACGTTAGATCAGCTACACTAATACTCACACTATTATTTTGCTTTCTTATGTGTTAAACATATATCAGCATCTTCTTTAAAGTACAAGATGAAATCAGCCAATTTTGTTTTCTCAATAAAATGTACTCTTCAATTCTATCTAAAAGTAAAACTCAGCGTGAAATACCCTCAGATTGGCCAGACTTTAACAGATCCTCTGTTGTGAGGACTCAGACCGTCTAAGCATACGAGAGCCAATGCTGAGTTACAAACTGCAAAGAAAAAGTTCAAATTTGTTCCACAGTCAAAAATCACACCTATTAAATCATAATGACATTTCTTGTCTCAAGTTGTGCCCATTCAGTTGTGTCATGCTAGTCACGGTGTTCCTGGTATTGCTTTTCAGGGAAGTCATTTGAATGGCAGAAGAGTTGCGCAAGTAGCTGGCAGATCTCTCTTGCTGAGCTTTCCTCCTGCAGCAAAGCTGGTTGTTGAAATGTCTTCTAAAACTCTCACTGAGAAAATACAGTGCAAATGGGTTGACACAAGAGTTGCAGAAGCTTAGCACTCGGGCCACTAAGGTAACAACCATGTGTCCTGTTGATGGATCAATCTCATTGTAATTAAAAGATCGGTACATGTATAGCACGTGGTTAGGAAACCAGCAGATAGCAAAGAAGCCAACAAAAACTAGAACAATCTTCGCCAGACGTTTCCGAGTTTCCATCTAAAAAGATGAAAGGAACCCAAATGAACAACAGTGCATAGAACTACTCCACATAACAGACTTAATTAAAACATGTAGCACTTTGCTTTAGCAAATATAGCTTTAATAACAATCATAAGTAAGGCCAGCAAAAATGCTTCCTTCAGGGGCTGAATTACTTTTTCTATCTCATTTACTTTTTTTCCCATTTTCAGTTTACCTTCAGTGAAAGATCCTAGTTGTTTGCAGTTACAGAAGGTTGCTCTTTCCATATGATACATGCAGCAAGAGTGATTCATGACCCAAGAAAACACTGGCTTTTAGCCTGAGAGCATACACCAAAAGATGCCATGAAACACAACCTTTTCTGATGAGATCTCAGTGCTTGGCTTGAAACTTAGCTTTAGTTAGAAAGCTATTTAGAAACCATTGGCTTTGAAATATAGAGACAATGTGAATGAAATGTAGACACTGCTAGGGTGTTAGCTACACAATGGTACTTATATCCCATTATTTTGCCTGAATTGCCTCAGCTTGCACCACCAAAACTGCATTGAACAGTCTGAGCATCTTAATTCCGGGGTAAGGTGAAAGGTTCAGTTAAATCTTCAATAATGACATGAAAGAAATATACCTTAATTGCAGTGCTAAAGTATAATTGGATTACAATGTAGATACTGAGTGGCTGAAAACTGGACAGGAAATGAGCCTACACAGTGGTTCCAAACTGAGAGAGGGAGAGAAACTGGCCAGGTAGAAGGCACCAAAAGGAGGCAGAAACTTTCTACATATTCCTCCCAAAAGATTTATTATGCTTGTCAGGTACGAAAGTTTTGCAAAGGCAGGAAAGTTTTCTGTCTTTGCTCAATTTTCTGAAAGAAATCAAGTGAATTTATTCTAACAGGGTTTCAAAGTATGTGAAATAAATCTATAAGTGGTTTTCTTGGCTCCATCTAAACCAAAACCAGTGGGGAATTCACAAAAGATGGGAAAACTCTAACATTCCAATTTGGTAGGATTTGCACTCAGACAGATTGCAAAGGCAGACTAGAAGGTGCAGAGGTATAGTGGGAATATTACACTTTTGTGCTATGGCCTAAAGAAATGTGAGTTGATAGCAATAGTCTGAATTTACTTCCTCTTGCTGAGAGATATGTAAGTACACCGGAATTTTCTATTCCTCTGAGCCTCATAGATTAACAAAAAGAAAAAAACTAAGTAGAATGAAAAAAATATGTTCTTACTTTGAAAATACATGTGGGTTCAAAAATATGATGTAAATTAAATATTGTTTCCATCCTGAGGGTTCAGCCAAAAGGCTCTCTATATTTCACAGGAAAACAAAATAATACATGAAGTGCTAATATGTATGTCTTTTTGACAAGAAACAGGCTAGAGTAGAAATGAAATGCTGAGCAAAAAGAACATGAGGGAATGTGGTCTTTCTTTTTAAAAGAGTATGTACATGCTATATATGCAAGGAGATTTCAGTGAGTACAAAGGTGTTTTCTAAAATATTGGCAGAGAAAACCCTTCCAAATTGTTTTAACGGGCATAAGTTTTTTTCTCTATCAATACTAACATTTTTGTAAAGTGGTTGAGCCACTTCCACTGCAAAAGCTGTTGTGTGTACATATAAATGTTCCTGCTAATGAACAGCCTGTTGCTACCTTATTATATCTTCCTGTGCCTTACAGGGAAGCTGACTTTGTCCAGCATTTTAAAAGGTTTTGTCTCAAAGGTATACAGAACCTATACCAAAAGTTTTATAGCATCTATAATAGAAAGGGTATTAGAAAAGTGTGAGTTCAGGTTTGTATCCAAGAAAGATCTACTGAGAAAGCCAGAAAAGAATCGGTTCGTGCTCTGCGTTCATATTTTCAGCACTCCTTGGTCTGGGAAGAACCTTAGATCCCCTAAGAAAAGTTTTCCCTGCCTATGTCAGTTTTTTCATTTCCAAGTACAAATAAAATAGGGTGAATTCTGAAAAAGTTCATGTAGGATTTCTTTCCGAAATGGCTGCCTATAGAGATAGGCAAAGCCACCAGCATTAACTACAAAAACATTGCTCCTCAGTAAAAACACAAGTAATGATTACAGTCACAACACACACAAACACATATACCGGTCCCATTTCTTGTTAGGAATATGCATTGATGGCCTTGAATCTATATTTTTCCTTGCTCATATTCATTTACATACTGGGCTTAATACTGAGTAACTGTGAAAACAAGCATATTTTTCAGATAATCCTCAGCTTAGTTCATGCATGTGGAAACTGAACTAACCCTCTACAAAATCCAACAATTTTGATGTTATTGTTCCGGCACTTTCGTTTGTAAGTGTAAGCAGCACTTTTTCATTGGGATGTGAAAAGCAAGTTGCTTACCTGTCTTTTGGAATGCTCGCTGTATTCTCCAGGCATGTTGTGAGCACTTTTTATTAAACTCTTTGCTATATGATAGTAGTAGATACTAATGATGGTGAGAGGGATAAGGAAATACACCAGGAAAATGAGCACAGAATGGATCTTCGGGTGCATGTTGTCCGTCATGGGGTATGGTATGCATGCTGTGAAAGTGGCATTATCCGTGTCATTGATGTGGGCCAGTTCGGAGAACACCGCTTCAGGAACTGCCAGGAGCATGGAGATTACCCAGATGGCAATGGCTTTAACACAGGTCCATAGCACTGCGCTGGAGGTCTGGATGTCCATGGGGTTTACAATTGCTTTGTACCTGAAATGGATCAAAATGCAGATGCAAATTAAACGGTATCCTTTCAAATTCAACATGTGACGCATAAGGCCACTTCACACCTTTCATTAAAGTAAGGTCATATTTTGTTCTTCTTTGAAATCCCAAGGGGTTTGTACTCGTTCTTACATTTGCGTTCTCTAAACCTCTAGCTTCGTTGCATGTTTAGCCATCAGAGGTAGCATAAGGAGCCCTGGATACCACCTGTGGCTGCAGGTGCCCGTTCTGCGCCAGCCTGCTGAAAGCGCAGGACTGCTCCTCCTTTCTCCGAGCAACCCCCCGCAAACCCCCAAACGCGCATCCTGCCTCCGTACCGGCGCTTGCGTCCTTCCGCGGCTCGCGCAGCCCAGGGCGCCCTCCCGCCCGCCACCGCGGCTTTCCCGCGCTGGGAGCGCGG